AAAATTTAAAAATTCAACCAATTTTTAAATTTAAATATTAATATTTAATAAAATAAATTTTTAAAATTTAAATCGAGTCTTAATTAAATAAAATACTGTAATTTAAAATTAAAATTTTAATATTTTTTAAGAGTTGAAATTGATATATATATTTTTTTCATAATGAGTTAATGTGATTTAATTTAGATACTTTACAATAAATTTGTGTTTATAGGAAAGTGAGAAATTGACTTTCTATTAACAAAGATAATGTAATAATTTAAAAGATATCTAATCTAAAAAACTTTTAAATTCTCTCTTCAATACTCTCACTTAATTTCTGGATTATTTCACTATTTTTTCTTTCGTCTCTCTCACAATCGTACTTGGTACTTGCTCAATGCTCATTTACCTCTTTTCAATAGCTCTCGCTTGTATCTTCTTCCTCGTACTAAGCATTATTTATAGAGCTCATCAACTCAGAGAGTAAGTGCGAACAAGTCGAACAAAAATAATAAGAGTTTTGGTTAAACTAAAATCCATGATTTAATTTATAGTCAATATATTACCCAACAACATGCTCCAATGTACTTTAAAAAAAAAAAAAAAAGGCCGATCAGAACTGCTGTAGGGTGGCGCCATGCGCAGCAATAGGTTGGGGAAAACTTCTGTGATCAAGCAACATGACAATAAATGCCATGGGTACCACCTCTTGTCCGTTTTAATTTTTATATTTTAGGTGATATTTTTTATATGACATGAATAATAATTAATTTTTTATAAGTAATTTTTATTTTATAAACATTTTAAATCATCATTTATGTACTAAATTAAGAAAGCATCTCCTAAGACTGCACTCAGGTGGTGTTGTATCTAGCAATAATAGGTTAGAGGAATACGCCCCTAGCTAGTAGGGCAATGCATGAAAAACGTTACATATCTATTGGTTACTCTAAAAATGTGTAGGATTATTATTATTTTTTAAAATTAATACAATTAAAGGATGAAAAATAAGATTATCAAAATTTAAATTTTAGATTTTTAAATAGGATTTACCTATCTGTACCTTTAAAGTATAAGATGAGAAATAATTATTAGTTAATAATTATCTTAAAAAATGGGAAATTTTAAACTAAAAAATAAATTCTGATTTTAATTTTAAAACAAATGAATAAAAAACTGACATGTTTCATTTGCTATCAAAGCAAAAGTCAACTTTATTATTTTAAAGGTAAAAATTAATAATAATTATGCAATCATTACTTTTTATCATGTGTCTTAAGGACACAAGATAAGTAAATCCTAAAAACATAAGATAGATAAACCGTTTTAAATATTACCATCCTCTTCCGAGGAGTTGTGTATATTGAGTCACATAGGTGTGGTGATTGTGTAAGATTATTTAACCTTCAAATCATTATGATTTTTCATGCATTATCCAACTTAAATTATACCTTAATAAATCAACCTCAATCCGATTACCTTTCAAAAATAAGTAATAAAACCATATTTCTTTTCGTAAAACCAAAATGTTCATTTTTTTGGTTCTTTATGGTTGTATAATCATTACAATGTACAATTTAAAATTCATGATACATAATATTCAACTCATAATATCCACAACTCACAATACATAATTTATATATGGTTAAATGCTAATTTTAGTCCCTCGACTTTACAGTTTTGCACTTTTTTTGTCCCTCAAGTTTTTTTTTGTACTTTTTTGATCCATTGACTCTAAAAATTGCACAATTTTAATCTTTTGTCAATTATCTATGACGTGGTAGTTAAGTAATTCCAGAATAGCTTTTTCTTTTAATCCTTTTGATGACATGTCAATAACATGTATTTAAATTTGTTTATGTGTACCAATAATGCCAAATAAGATTAACATTCATATTTTAATTAAAAGAAATAAAAAAATGAAAAAGTTATCTTAGCATTCTGGTCTTCCTTTCTTGATCCATCTTCTTCCCTCTTTCTTCTTCTTTGCTCCAGTTAAGGTTGAACACAACTACTGGGTTCAACGAATCCCCACTTGTTGGGTTCCATCAAACCTAGCGTATCTCGTCAAATCAAACTAAATTCTTATTCACTTACTAATAAATAATGTCAATCAAACCCTAATCAAATTCCAACATAAAATGCAATCAAATTCCAACAAATCAACTCCCAAATTTTGCAAAAACCTACAAAGAATAGATACAATAGGTAAATCAAGAATTGAGAATGGAAAGGGAAAGAAGAACTTAGATCTATTGCATTCCGTTGAACTTGCTTGCTTGGTTTCATGGAAACTGATCTATTAGGTTTAAGGGAACCCAGTAGCTGGGTTGGAGGAACACAGCACCTGGGTTCCATCAAACCCAGCACCTAGGTTTTGACCAATGTTTTTAAACTCGAATCGGAGGTCAAATCGTTTTGACCTTTGGTTCACAATTTGAACGGTTTAATTGGTAAAACCATTGGATTGATCAAAATACTATAAATATATTATTATGCCATAAATTTCACATGGTGCCTGTTGGGTGCAGTAGTATGTGGTTGATTTGTCATAAGAAAGATCACTAGTTTGAATCCCTTGAGAACAAACTTTAATATGATTGTGCTTCTAAAACTAGAATAAATATATTGTAAAACAAAAAATTGCAAATAGAAGGTTGTATCTCAAGTGGAAGAGTCTTTGTTCCATAACATGGAGAATGGGTGTTCGAATCCCATGGCTATCATCAATAATTTGGTTAAAAGCTTTGAGATTTCTATTAGATAAATAAAATTCCAAGCACTTATTGACATAAGGTGATGGGAATCAAGATGACCCCACATGTACCACGGCAAGAGATCCATTACACATTCCAGGAGGTCTAGTCACAAGAGTTAGAGCTAGGAAGATGATGAGAACCCCAAAGAGAACAATGAGACCCGCAGCACGATAAGGGATTTCTAAACTCCAAGAAAGCCAAATTAGGTTTATAGGAGGACCTTGACCCGTTGTTTATGTTGCAACAAGAACCAAAGGTAAAAACCTTGACCCGTTGTCTATGACGCAACAAGAACCAGAGGTATAAAGTTGGTTGACGCCACACCCTCGAACGATTAAGAACGAGAATGATAAGTCAGGTTAGAATGCCACAAGAATAATCTTGATAAATTCTGTAAAGTTCTAAAATGAACCAAAGAGAAAAGTCTCTCAAAAACTCAGATTCAATAGCTCCCCCCAATTAAGGTTACAAGCCCTTTAAATAGGGAAAAGTAATTCTAATCAAAATAGGAAACTAACACCCTAAGCCCTAAGCCCTAATCCTAATAACCACGAATTGGGCCTAAAATAAATGAATGTTCAGCCCAAAATAATACAAAAAACATGAAAATCACTTAAAGTAACCTAAAGTAACATGAAATATTAGTTTGTTACAAATTGTGATAGAATTACGAGATTTTGATGCAAACTGTGTAATTTAGCATAAATGACCTCAATTAAGTTTTTTCTTGAATTTGAATGATGTTTACCATGCCTTGATAATCATCCAAACTTCAATTTACTTGTTGCATGTTGTTATCAACCCAGATATGCTCAATAAGGCCATTTAAAGCTTCTCGTATCTTCCTAGCTCTAGCTCTCGTGACTAGACCTCCTGGAATGTGTAATGGATCTCTTGACGTGGTACATATGGGGTCATCTTGATTCCCATCATAAGGATTGCATTGTTTTGGTGGCAATGGATCAGAGTAAGGACTCCAAGGTTGCAAGTTCAAACCCCGTTGAAGACAAATTTTTGAAAACTTTATGCCCAAGCATTGAATCGTTTGGTGGAACAATTTATCAGTTTGAGTGGTTTCAACGGTTCTTATTGGTTTCAAATGGTTTAACTGTTTAAATGGTTTGAAAGATGCACCCGAACCGTTTATACTATTAGTTACTGGTTCAACTGATCCAATCGACTAACCCAATTTTCAAAACTATGGTTCTGACAGAACCCAAAGCAATTGGGTTCCATCAAACCCAACAGCTAGGTTCGATAGAGAGAGGCAGAAAAAGGGGAAGAAGGAGGGGAAGAAGATGGATCATGAGTGGGAGATGAGTTTTTTTTTTTTATTATTAAAAATATAAATGTTTAATTGGCTTAACATTTTTATTTGTACACGTAATCAAATTATATGATATATTATTGCCATGTCATAAAAGTTTTTTTTAAAAAATGTCATATTGGAATTATTTAATTGCCACATCATAGTTTACTGACGGAGGGACTAAAATTGTGCAACCGTTAGAGTTGAGAGATCAAAAAAGTGCAAAAAAAAATATTTTTTTGAGGGACGAAGGAAGTGCAAAATTTAAAGTTGATAGACTAAAATTAGCATTTAACCTTTATAAATCTTTGGTTTATCACAATATCATAAGCTTAACCTTATCAAAGATTAACCTTACGGCTAGACCTGGCAAAAATCCACCCGACCCGTCAACCCGACCATAACCCGACCCTTAAAAAACGGGTTAGGGTCTACACATCTCAACCCGCAACCCGTAGATGACCCGTATTATCAACCCGTAC